ATGGAAAGCTAGCTCGGATGACTATAGGATTCGCTAATTTCCAATCTTTAAAAGAAAGAGAAGGATATAGAGCAATTTTTAGATTGCTTTTGCTGCCTCTATATAATAACCACTCTTTACCAAATATTTTAGCTAGTCATTAAAAGAAATTCAAGAGATTTACTATTCTACAATGTGTTTCCCGATGTCTCTCCCTTCCTCAACAGCTAATGTAGGCCTGATCAAGAGTTAGGGTTAGCCTGATTTGTGAGTTAGATTGATAACGTTAAAAGTCGGGGGTTTTTGTCCATATCGATATCTTTTAATAACATTACTTGAAACAATTCACACGAAAGTTTTTATTTTTTTTTTCAACCCAGATTAAGTCTGGACTATTTCTGTATTACATCTCGCAAAATGACTGACGAATTTGATTTCATGTTACATCTGATCCTGCAGAAACTTTTATATGGAGAATTTCACGTTCCACTTGCCTCTATTAGAACCGACTTCTGCACTAAAGTTTCAGCCTTTCAACAAGCAAGTTATGTAACGTAATAATGTAACGTTAATCGGTTTTACAAAAAAAAAAAAAATAATAAATCCTTTTCAGGCAATTATCAAATATCAAAACGCCTATAAATCACTTTTCCCTCCTAAGCAATAAAAAAAAAAAAAGTCGCTGGTAAGTATGTAATTACTAATAATGAGTTTATTTTAATTATTGCATACATGAATCTGCACGTTAAATAAATACAAATATGTAGGCTGACCTTAAGACCGTCAATTAATAAAAAATTATCTGAGTTGACACTTTTAACAAGATTGACCGGGAAATCTACGTTGAAGCTTTTATTTATTATTTTTTTTCATCTTGAAGAATTATTTTGAAGAAGTATTTTAAAGAATTGATTAAACAAATTCATAGTATTATTTCTGCATGTATTTATCAATACGATGATAAATCATTTTTCGATACTTGTATTATTTTATTATTAATTGTTATTGATGGACTAAATGTAATTAAATCCTAGATTGCACTTTTCTTTCTTTAATTCAATATGATTCGATATAATGATAAATTCGTGGAGTCAAGTGGTGAGTTTTAATTGTTTATTACTGTGTATGAAATTTAAAAATAACAATTATTTGAGTCAAGCATTGAACGATTCTGTTGCTTACGAACATAAGGACGTTTTTATAATTTCTCCAATAGATTATATATCTGGTGTTCAGCCTTCTCCAGTCTCTCACACGCAGGAACTTATTCATGGTTATAAAAACACAGTCACTTTTGGAACATTAAGTACAGACGATTGTTCCAAACAATTTTCTCTATATGAATGTGCGCAAAATGTTGATGTAGAACATGACGACAAAATTGATAGTGATGATGATGATGATGATTGCGATAGCTTTAGTGATTATAGCGACAACGATAGTGATAATGATTTTTATATGGACGAGGATGTAAAGGTTTCGGGAATAATTCAAGAATTTGATTTGCTTATTGGACCCGTTATCACTGACTATCAAATGTCGCGAACAACGTGGGCTACTTGTTCAACGATGATTTGTATCGTTATTTGTGTTATAATGGTCCTCTTAAGAAACATATGGTTGATCTCTTTTAACGGGGCCACTCAAACTTTACACGCTGTTGTAAAAAGTTGGTTTATTCAAGCTTTAATTAATATTTGTTCTCATGTCTCGATTTCTTTATTACATATGACTGCTTATATTAGTTATCGGAATAGCCATCTTACCTCGTCCATTTTAATTGCGGGTGTTACAAGTAGTTTATTATTCACTGACAAATTTGTGATCCATACCAAAACATACAATTCTTTTAAGAAAGTTTTGATCTGGCTGTTACCTATAATTCTTATTTCACTTTTTGCTTTTTTTGGCAAGCAAATTTACGTTGAAGAGTACATGTCAATTCCTATAGATCATGAGTTTGTCCCTTCTATTATGCTTCCGGAGGAAGAATTTGCTTATGATGAAATTTGCTCATTTTCATGGTGTTTTATTTATTAGAATTGAACACTCACATGTTATCAAGGGTTTTTGATTGGTATTTGGCAGTTTTATCAAAATTTGTCGTTACGTGCTAATGTTCCCAATAGGGAATTTTAATTCATATATTGTATATAGAAGATACAAAAAAAAAAAAAAAAAAAAAAAAAAAAAAAAAAAAATTAATTAAAAAAATTTTTTCGTGTACGGCCTAATCATTTCACTGAATTTATTGTTATTATACTTTAACTTTTAAATGTAATTATGTTTTTTTAAAATAATACCATTCGTATATATAATTTAGAAATATTAGATGTTATAAATTAGTTTCTCCTATGTTGTTTTTTTAAACAAAATAAAATTATTATTTCTTGTAATAAATTTTGATCAGTTATAATACTGTATGTATATTTTCTATTGGAATTAAGAATTTTGAGCAGGTGCACATGTGCGCACCTCTTTTGGAATTTACTAATTTACCCCACCACTTCTAATTGGCTGTACTAATTATTCACTTAGCGGAGTATTTATTCTATTAACCAATTTTTTTCTATTCCGATAGTAAAGTGGGGGGGAAAATTAGGGCCCCCCCCCCCCCCCCCCCCCTTTTGCATATTTTAGCTTTAAACATTTACTTAACGTTAATAAATGTCGTTAGAATTTGTTAGGTAAAATTCTAATTGTTACACAAATTCGGGATCTGCAAAATTAGCCAATGAATAGGGTGCGCACATGCACGTGTCGAACATCTGGGGGCCAAAAAAATTTTTAAACTTTCATTACTGCATTACGTGTGATTTAAACACTGCCCATGCTTTCAAATTCAGAGATGCATTACTTTAATATTATTAATAATCAGACATTTTAATTGACATGCATTTAAAATAATATGGAAACTATTGAAAATTCGCACATATCAGCTCACCAAATAAAATGTCTTAGAAATTTCTTAAAGGTATCAATTAAATTTGAATTTTTGTCTAGCTATTCATCTTTTCCTTAATACTTAAAAGCTATTCTAATCTTTAAAGAGCACAGATATTCAAAGCCATGAGATACTTTTAGATACACTTTGCAGAATTAATAATGCATTAAAAATTTGTTACAAGCATGTCTCTATTGCTTCTGATAAGAACGCTCTTTTATACTGCAGTATTATAGCAAAGCATCAACAAACCCTGGTAAATTTAATTCTATTAATTAAAAGTTTAAATATTTTCCTCAAATTCATTCTTATTCTTTCATCAATATTATTCACAGCTACAATTTCTTACGAACGATAATAAATTTGTCGTATATAGTGTTCAGAAACTAATAATACAATGGATCTTTTTTCTATCGAATAATGAGGTAATTCTAAAGATATTACGGTACAATACTTATTATGCACCAAGGGAACTGTGGTTATTTAATTTTGTTTATTTTAGAATTTAGATCAAATTGATGTTATGGAAACTCAAGAATCCTTAATAACCGGTCTACATAACATTCACTCCGCGTTTTTTGTTAAAAATCCTAATGCCCCTTTTGGGATAGAGACTGGAGCTGTTCTTGAAATTTATCATCACGTTTTAAAGGATTTCAGACATCAATTATTGAAGGATGATGATGAATTGTTTGAACAAAGAATAGTTCATCATGTTGGTTGGCGTATACTGTGCATGTTAACTAAATATTTCATAATGGAAAATTACATAGTTAATATCAATAGTCATAACACAGCTTTTCAGGTACGTATTACATATCTCTTCTAATTCTAAAATAAACAAAATTAAATAACCACAGTTCCCTTGGTGCATAATAAGTA